TGTGTGTGTGTGTGTGTGTGTGTGTGTGTGTGTGTGTGTGTGTGTGTTTATATATATGCGTATGTGTGTAAACAAACATAAAATTCGAAAATTAAAATCGAAATGAAATGAATCTTTCAAAAAAAAAAAAAAAAAAAAAAAATAGGAAAAGAAAAAATAACTACAAGCGTTTCAACACTTATTCAGCCGGAAAAATTTAATTGGAAATTAAAAGGAAAGCTCGCTCGTGTATATGTATGTGCCAATAAAAATAGGGAAAAAACAAAACAAAAAAAAAAAACAAAAAAAAAAAGCAACAAAAGCAAACTACAATTGTGAACACAAACAAAGAAACAAACAAACAAATTTGAAATGCGAATTTTGCATCTCTAACTTATTTAGATGAAATAATAGTTTTTAGTTTGCACCTTTTTGTACAGAGCCAATCAATGTTAATTGTAGAAAGAAAAAAGAAAAAAAAGAATAAATAAATTGAAAATATATACATATATATATATTTATACAATGTATGTATAAATATGTATATACCTATATATATATATATATATATTTATTTATTTATATATATATTTATATATATATATTTATATATATATATAGAAACAAAAATTAAATTCTCGAAATTATCCGTTTACTACCAACTAATGGGAAAATTGTAAATAACTTATGCAACAACATGTTGAATAAAATACTCGAAGAGAAGAGAGAGAGAGCTCGCCCAGCATTTTGTAATTAACAACTGCTTTAATACATATACATATATATATATATACGTATACTTATATATATATATATATATATATAATATATATTTGTATAAAAAATAAAAAGGAGAAAAATGAAGAAGTAAAAAAGCTGAAAATAATGTTGAACTTACTGGTAATTGACCATTAATTGTTGTTGCTACTGTTGTTAAATGCAATTGAAATGAATCGAATTGTTTGCTCTTGAGACAGCGAACTGACAACGTTGATAAAAGAAATTAACAACAAAAGCATTAATTAACATTCAACTGAAAAGTTTGATGAACAACAAAACCAATATAAACAAACAATTTTCAATGCCCTGCGAAGAACGCGAATAGAGAAACATTATAACTATATATATATATATATTTATATATATATATATACATGAAATATGCTCTTTCGTAAAGGTAAGCAATGATGCATTTTTTTTAATTAATTAATAGAAATTTTTTTTCCTTTTTTCTCTTTTTTTTTTTTTTTTTTTTTTTTTTTTTTTGTATCTTTTCATAAATTGACTTTCATTACGAGTGATACTTACTTATAAAGAGTGATACCTTTTCAAATTTGAAATTTATATTAAAGAAAATAGTGCTTAATGTTGAAGCTTCAATATTACAGTTATAGTCTATAAAAAAATATCATTCAAATATCCGTTACACGACCACACGACACCAAATTTCCCAAAGTTTGTATTTTATCAAAACAGAATCTTGGACTTTAATGTGATCCTAAAGAAACAATCACACGATCGCGGAGACGGCGATCCAATTGTCTGATGAGCAGACAATGAGCACTCATCCGCAAGTGAGCTGGCACTTTAGTAAAAAGGTTTTTAAAGCGATTTCTAAACTGGAAATTGTACTGAATGCTTTCATCTTTGGAAGCACACAACAAAACAACTTTTAAAAAGAACGGCGACCTATTAAAAGGCTCTATGTCAGAGTATTATTATACTGGAATAGGAATTCCGTTTATTTGTAAGAAATGTGCAGGTGACACTCTTTGGAGCCACTTTGCTAAGCACTGCCCTATTTGCAAGCCAAAAAAATGGCAACGTAAAGCTATTCTACTAAAAGTAACAACATAAGGATTTTAAAAGATTCACTAATAACATTAACATTTTCTTATAAGCATGTCCCATAATTTGTTCTTCCCGCTAAAGGTCAATTAGTACAAAGATGTTTGTCTTACTTACGACATCTGTCGTCTTAGAACAACTCTCAACCAATTTTCGATGCCCTACATCAATTGTGGTAAACGTTGTTCAACGTTGTTATCTTCGAAATCGATATAAGCTTGTGCCTCTCTTTCTGTCTGTCGATTAGGTAGCTGTCCATGCGTGCTATTGAACATGGATTGAATCCGACAGATAGTGATCGCATTTTTCTATTCATCATATCATATAATAAACAGAGTGTTTGTAAAATTTCTTTTATTTTAAGTTTTGCGGAAAGTTTGCAACGGAATAGGATACATTATCACGTTTTCTATAGTTATCCGCACTCTTGTCGAATATTGATGTCAATATATGTCCTAATGGCGGCAGATCGCAGACTGACAAGTTCATCATTTGATTAGACCGTATGAGTGTAATTCATTTTTTTCCTTATACATACATACACTTATACATATAGTGTTGTACTTATATCAACTTTTTTAGTTAGCAGGCATGCTCAGATACTTTTTAATTTACTCCAGATATACAACTGAAGGATAATTATCTTAAATAAATGGTTGCAAGCGAGAAAATGAACGAAATCGCAATAATCATAAAATGAATTCCGTTTAAAAAAATTAAAGTCATTTCATCTTAAAATTCTCCAAAACGATTATTGTTGTATTGTTGCCAATACTGTTGCAGGCTACGATAACGTGTATGAGTTGTGTGAAGTGCGTTGTCGTTGAAGCAAGCTACGTCAATATATATTTGTATTGATTTTTGGTAGTCTTACTAAATATTTATCAATCAGTGGTTGTGCTAACCATACGATAAATATAAGTAGAGAATATAGATTTTGCAATATTCTACTAACAAAAACAATGCACTTTTTTAAAGACAAACAAGTAATAGCACTAGAGTGGAACACGGGTTAGTAGTAGATACCCTATGCTAATCTACACTTATTCATATAACGGCTTTTTCAAATCGTGGTCTTGTATGGGAAATGGTCCGATCCAATAGCTTTCGTCCTTGGGCGAATCAGAAAGTGATTCAGCAAACAGTTCCGAATCGATCGAATCGAATAAAAGGTGAATCTATATCAAATTCTTGCATCCTGCTGCAACAGCCTTACATCCTTACAAAGTCAATATACCTTTTGACCAAAAGTTGTGAAGGATATGAAAGAGGCCATTCAATTAGATCCTTTAAGAGGAGATAGGTTCTATAGTGTTTTATTTATTTCCTTCTTCTCTTTTCAAATTTTTTCCTTACACTTTACAGTCGATTATCTCGTATAACTCTGGCACGTAGAAAAAAAATATTTGTATGTGTACAAGAAATTCGGCTTGGGAATCGTCTCATATAGCGAATGTGAAATTTATGCCTATGAGTCTGAAAGTGAATATCAGTCTTCCGGAGCCTAAGCCGACAAGGTTTGTTTGAATTGAACTCCGTCTACTGTGTGTTTGTTTGGGAAGAAATTTTCAGAGATGTACGAAACACACGATAAGAGTTTCGAAATCATTTCTCGCAATGACAATGAAGAGGCGTGAACATTTCATTATTCGAATAACCGTGACCTCGCGTAGCATGGTTTTATTTGCGCATTTTATGCTTTTAAGTAAAGACGCGAAACTTGCGTTTTCGTCAGAATGCATGAAGACGTTTAGATCGTTCATCTCTGAAATATCATCTGAATTGGTTATGAAAAAATTGCTATATATTAGAGGTGGGTAATTGGGTGGGTTTATTGTCATTCATCAAAAAAAAAAAAAAAAAAAAATAGAAGAAGTTCTAAAAACCAAATGGTAAAATTTTTCCAACTTTGGCATATTAAAATATCATAATTTTTTCATCTTATGCTATATAATGCATAAAATATATGTTAATACAATATATATAGCATATATATAACATTCTTCTGTGCACTCTCTTTCTTATATATCCTTAGTGTATATGAAAAATATTTATGGCTTTTTGAAATTTGTTAAAATCAATCTCTCGGCCTTGAAAGATAGTTCCTGTGACTGTAGTACTGATACTACCAGTATAACAGCCATTATATAAAGTGTCACATACGCGATCTTTACATGTTATACAATATATTAACATTTATAGGACTATGAATAATGGAATTTTTATTATTATTATTATTATTATTATTATTATTATTTTCTTTTTTTTTTTTTTAAATCCATTCAATGTTGGCATCGAAAATACCGCTAATGTCATAAGCGTGGGACGCTGTCATTAACAACATATTCACAGGCAGTTTTGTTACTTATTGAAAATGAATGACAACATATGGTGCACACTCGGATTTTATGGATCTTAAGTCTTTAAAATGTGCTAAGCTTACCCCGCACAAAATTAATTTCACTTCAGAGGTAAAAGTTTATATAAACACAAATTTTTATTACTGCAAAAAGAGAGAAAAAAAAAAAAAGGAATGCATTTTCAATGAAATAATGAAATAAGAAAAAATTGTTAATAAAAATTCTTTGATCTATAATCACATAATATATTGTTTTCAAAGAAGTATTCAAGAGAAGCTAAGAGAAATTAATGAAAATATTGATTGGCAGTAAGTCACTTCCCACTCAAAGCACTCACTGTTCACTAGTGCGTTAGCTATTTACTGGCAAAGTTAATCATAATCAAGCGGATGAATCCTCCTCCTGCTATGTGTACATAACTTTTTTCTTTTTTTTTTTATTAACTGTATTGCAAGTTTTCGTTTACGTGATTATATAAAATTCTATTAAATTGAATTGAAACATCATCAGCTATATTTCCAGAATGTGTTTACGAGGTAGTCTAAACTAAACTAAACTGTAAATTTATTTAAGGTAAAGTAAATACACACAAATCTACGACTTGCCAAACAAACTTTTAGATACGTTCCGTAGCAGAAGTTCAAATCACTTGCGAAATAAGGAATTTATAAAAGACTGCACTATGTTCTCAGCAGCACTTAAACTATGTGCATATATAAGCATACACATATATATAGGTGGCCTGTTAGAGTACTTTAGAGATTTTACTTTTCTTGTAAATCTTTTCAAATAAAGCAAAATTGACTTGACGAAGAATGCGGTGTTTGTCAGTCACTGAAGAACGGAGGAATTTTTTCATTTAAGTGATCACATTATATGTAAGCAAACAAACCGAGCATGTCGGTTACAGTGAAAAGAAGTCTACAATCCCACTAACAATGCATATTAATCAATTTACTAAAATAAAATTTTTAAAAAATATTTTTAAAAAACTGTCGTCCTTCCTCGAATATGAGAATAAAAAATTATTCGTTAGTCGCTAGTGCTGATCTTTTACGTACCAATGCATCGTTCACTTTGTTCATTTCACCTCAGTAGACATCTGCAGGAATTGTTTAATTCGTTTATAGCAACGCTACACGTAGCTGATCCCACCATACGGACGACCCTGCTGGTATAACCTATAACTTGTTGTGTTTGGGATTGCCTTAGTAGATCTAGTTTTCACCGCCAGTCACAATACGCCGCAGAAAACAACGAAACGACGATATTGATACTGTTCGAATTCTGACTGTCCAGTAGAAAGTAGAAAATCATCCTTACAAGTACATGCTACAAAGATATGGAAATGCTATTTTCGGCTACGTGCACGCAACACTCAGAAAAACTTGAAATAGACTCACTTGTTATTATACCGATCGATTTAGAAAGCGATAAGCTTACCCGTCCGTCACTCCGTCCTGTGTTATTCCGTTCAACATAAATGTTGCAATTTTTGGGTTATTTTGATGATATGTGGAACACTGACCTGTTTTAGCTCAAGAACGAATACTATTGAAGATAGTGCAGATCAGATCACTTTTTCGACCACTTCCCATATGGTGGCTTATTTTGAAAAATCATTTTATAAATGTGTATATTAAGCGAACCATGATGCATTATAGTGTTCTTACTTCTTTTGAGTTACGTACGGTTTCGTAAAATGCGGTAAAATTTACCGATGAACGCATTGTTTTGTGCATGCAAAATTTCCTTTGTTTTTAGTGTAGCTCGACATTGAAAAAAAAAAAAAAGGATCGGGAATGACTACTTTGGAAAAGAAATTTTCCGAAGCAAATCTTCAATATTACAATTTATAAATACAAAATGTAATATAAAATATAATACAATACAATAATGCTCAATGACATTGAGAAACCGTTATTCCCGTCTACGTGTAATGAAAACCACAAAAATGTTAATC